TTCATATATCTGCTTTGTGAGATAACATATCTTGACTTGTGTAAACTAGAGCCAGACAAAGTGTGGGACAAGGCACCTGGTCGCCTGTATAATCGGCTATAGTGGTTATTTTGCTCATTTACCAGTCCACCAGTAGAACTAGCAAACATTTTGACCAGTAGTCGATGCCATTAGATGTATGTTGTTGGTTTACTTTGTTTTTGTTGCCACACTCATCACAGTGTCCTTTGGTGTTACACAGCAGATTGACTGTCATCACAATCTGTGATCAGTCACCTCTGTTACACGCCTTGTCAGATAAATCAGTGCACTCCTATTAATGTCTGCTGTTAACCTGTGCTGCCATATAGTGATCATCTCATCCTAGCATTTCATCTCATCTAGTTCTCAGTTTTTTGTTCCCCCCCCCCTTTTTTTTTAATGCACAGCTGTTGTTCAAAACCTCTGCATACTTCTCAGATTCGAGGATTTGATGTAGGGCTTCAACTAGTAATTTTTCTTCCACACAGTTTGCTGAAACTGTTATTTTTTAACGAGTAGATGATTAATGGTTTTGTCTGAAAATGTCAGAGATAATTTGATGATTGCAGCTCAGTTTCATATCATGATTAGATGACATTTCGTTGAAGCTGGGCTAAGGTTTTTATATACACGTGCAACAAGAATACTACATGAGATGATTTATGGAATAAAACACAGATTGGAGTGCAGAATAACTCTTCAGATTTCTTGTTTACGCTAAACAAAACTGTTTAAAGCGCCATAGTTAATCATTTAATTTTCATACATAGATTATTTCATTTGATCAAGTGCTAATTTGCAGCTGTGGTTGGATGGTTTTCCTTATGGAAGTACAAATGTTTAGAAGAAAAATGCAGTTTTTCATTTTTATTAATGAATTTATTTTGGGCCCCCTTTTTGTATCGGTGAAGCAAAGATTTCTTCATCAGGTCCAACATAACCTGGGGCTAGTGAAAAAGTACAGTGGGCAACTTGTTACCACTTCCTCTTTTTGTACCAGTGACCGTGTTTCCACCAGTCACTTCCCCTTTGAAGCAAACTTTTAAAGATGGTGATGTTCTTAGCTTCTCCAGTCCAAGCCGGTTTGTTTTACACCGTGACAGCGAAGCTGAATTAGTAAGTGTTTAATTAAAGATGTGCGTGTGCAAACTGCAAGCTTAGACTCTCAGATATTTGGTTAAACTTTGCTGTAGGCTCACAGCAGTCAGCGTGTCTCCAGCAACAATAACAGCAGGGATGAGCCTACAGGGGCTCAAAGCTTACTTGTTTTTTTTGTTTGTTTTTAACTAGTGGTATATAAATTAACTGACTTTTGTGGGCCAATTTAAAAAATAAATAAATAAAAGGGCACAATAAAAGTCTGATATAGTGCCCCAGTGGCCTACAGAGGATCAACTATTCTGTTTACGATGCCTCATTTTAATATAATGACCCAACTTTCAGTTAACACACTGTCTGAAGAGTTAATCAGCCAAAGCAGATCAAATTGATCTTCAGTGTCTTTCCTGCATTAGAAACATGTTGGCAACTCCAAATGACAATGTAATCGGATCATAATTAAAAACATTTAAATAGGGGTTTCATAAACTTATGCATAAAATATTTTTCTACTAATCAGATCAGAAGATACAGCAAAATGCACTGTTTTTGATTTCCTGACTCAGGTTAAAATGTGTTTATCAATTGGTCAGGAACAAGTAAATGCAACGACTTAATGTTGTTGCTTTAACTATACACAGGCTTATTTTGAAGTAGGACAAACCCCTGATCTAATTGGCACATTTTAAAAAGCAATGTTATCATCTTTAGGTAATATATCAGTGAAACCCTGCTTCCGTTGGTTATTTACAGGAGTGAAAAACTGAATATATCTTCAAATTAGAGCTTGTGGTTTAAATTTCTGCAGTTGGGAAATAACATGTTGTTTTACTATTTTCACAGTTTAATAACCAAAAAATAAACGCAACAGTAATTTCTTGTTGCCGGACCCGTTTACGCTTAAATCATGTTTCATCACAAAACGAAACAAACAAACTCGAGCTTGTCTGTGGAGGAAAACAGATGCTTACAGTTGTTCTCAGTGTTAGTCTTTGCTCTGAGCAAACAGCCCTGTGAGGCTCCTGCTTCTGCTAACAGAGTTCAGGTCTGTGCTTTTATCTGACAATTTATTGCTGCTGCCTGGCTGAGCCGATGCCTCCCCTCAGGCTCGTGACTTGTGTGGGGGAGCGTTAAAGGAAAAGCTGCTGAGATTGAGATTAAATCAGACTGAGGCTCGAATCCCAGACGCGTTCTTACTAAAACACGCGAGGCAGGTAGATGAATAATCCACAGCATATTAAGCGTGTATTGTGAACGGAAAGGCTGTATCCTGTTTGCCTCAGATACAATCTACCCCCTGCCTCATCTACATTTGCTCCCCTGAGATCAGCGCAGATTTAATAAAGGAAGTCACTAAAGGAAATTGTTTTCTCTGGATGCAGACCGACACGGTTCTCAAGTAAAAGCGTCCTGAGATTCAAGGTAGATCACCAGTCTGTCAAAGTACATACACATGCAGAATAATTGATTTAGAATGTTTTTAAGTGTCTATAATTACCCCAAAAAATGGTTTTATTATCATATGTGACATATTTTGGAAGCTGAAGTCAGTAGATATTTTTTCCCCCTCGGGTGATCCACAGATAAATTAATTAGCTTTCTCTTTCTTTAATTAAGCTGCTCATTGTTTATGATTTTCCCTAGAGCTACATAATAAATTGAAATGAAATGATTGTGTTCCTGAATGCTAACCACACTCTTAAGTAACTGGTTGGTCTTGACTCGTATCTATCACAGGTCCTAAAAGCCTTTCTTGCGTTCGTCTGTTGATCTTTGATGCTTGAGCTGACTCGCCCTTCTGTTGTCTCCAGGTCACAGGCGTGATCCTGCTGGCCGTTGGCGTGTGGGGGAAGGTAAGCTTGGAGGCCTATTTCTCCCTGGCTGCTGAGGAGAGCACCAACGCGCCATATGTCCTCATCGGGACCGGAGCCATCATCGTTATCTTCGGATTGTTCGGCTGCTTCGCCACATGCCGCGGCAGCCCGTGGATGCTCAAACTGGTCGGTGAAAGAGCAGTAGGAAACATTCCCAGTCTCAGAGATGACCTTGCATGACTGTTTTTTTTTTGTCTTTTGTGTTTCTCAGTATGCCATGTTTTTGACCTTGGTCTTCCTGGCTGAGCTCGTGGCTGGAGTTTCAGGCTTCATCTTCAGGCATGAGGTGAGTTAAACTTACAGTTGGTACACGCTTGAATCAAAATGAAACTGTAACATGACCCTGAGGGAATGTTTGTCATTTATTTTCATGGGTGAAAGTTTCTCGAAACAGGTTAAAACAAGTTCAACATCACAAACGGTGAAATCGTGCAATCACATGAGCGTCTGCAGGAAAAAGATGAATACCACTATTGTGATACCCGTTATCTCTCAGTCAGGTTTCAGCTAGCACAACTCAAAGTCAACCCCTCTGTTATGTATGTGACGCCTTTATTTTGAACTCATCAGATCAAAGCCACACTGGACAACGTCTATAAAAACGCAGTGAAAAACTACACCAGCACGGACAGCAAGAATCCAGTGGACACCATCCAGAGGAATGTAAGTGGGAGATTTTCCATCACCCTAGTGGCGTTGCATTTATCTGACTTTATGTTTCTCTGTACACACCAAAGGGCTCTTGTTTATATGAGAACATTTTAAAGGTCGACTCAACACTGAACGCACAGGAGCACTCTCCATGAACCATGTTGCTCTCATCGCTGAAGGTGTCTTCTCAAAGGGTGAATCCACAACATGGCTTTGTTTTCATTTTTTTGTTGTTGTGACTCTTTGCTTTTAGTTGCACTGCTGCGGGGTGTATAATTACACAGACTGGAACAATACAAAGTACTTTCAAGAGAAAGGCATCCCGGTCAGCTGCTGTAAAGACGACGATAACTGCTCACCAGAAACACTGAAGGATCTTGCCAAGGCTGAGAATGTGGTGTACACAACGGTGAGTTTGGAACAAGCAGTTCATCTCAAAAATGGTCAGCTGTATTTGTAAAAGGTTTCGGTTCAATATAACTTTCTGTAAAACTCGGGGTGTGTTTTTCCTGTTGTGAAGGGCTGCTTTGCGCTGGTAAGCACCACAATGGAGAACAACCTGGGAATAATTGCTGGGATTTCTTTTGGAATTGCCTTCTTTCAGGTATGTCTAATATTCTGTTAGATGGAAACAGTTTGTGGCTACAAACCAACGAAAAGCTGAACAATTGAACATCTGAAGCCGGATGTAGGAACCAATTAGTATTGTTTTTCTTGAAGTAATAAGCAACCTATGTTAATTCAGTTAAATGTGATTTATGTAGTGCCAATTCACAACGGTCACCCCCAAGCCACTTTATATTATAAGGTGAAGACCCTAAAATGTTAGAGAGAGCGCCCAACAACCAAATTATCCTATGAGCAAGGACTTGGTGACTGTGGGAAGAAAGAACGCCCAGCAAAACCACCCTCGGGGTGAGGCAACCACAGAGAGGCGAGGACAGAACACAAACTGTGGGAGAGTAGACAAAAGTTTGTGACGTGCAGTATTGGCATGTAAACACGTCAGGATTGAAAAGAGGAGTGGAGAAAAATCCTCACCGTATTAATGTAACTATGGGAATGTTTCAGGCTCACCTGATCCTGCTTTAACAAAAAGGAATGTTTTAAGCCTAACTAAGGAATCACAGCGGTCTGCCTCCAAGTAACAAATCTAAGAAAAGGTTTTTCATCGTCACTTTGAGACAGGATGTTTCTACTCTCTGTTCTATTAATGAAAAAGCTCCGTTTTCACCACGTTAGGATGAAAATAAAAGGACAGGCAGATCAGCTGGAGGGTTTGTCTTGCTGTTATTTTGCTGTGACCCACCTCTACTAACCAACAAACAGGAACACAGCAGGAAATTATTTCCAACAGTGAGAGAAAATCTAGTTGAATTGTGGCAACATAGGCTTGTTTGTGTGATGTGTTCTCCAGCTGTTCTCAAGACTGCACCAAGGGGGGCGTAGCACGGAGACCTAGAGCAGAGCCACAGCAGCTGTGCATCTTGGCTCTGATTCAGTTATTCCCCTCATACAGTCTACATTCTGATATCAGACTCAAGTTTATTGAGCCGCCACGTTGCCCAGTGTGCATTGCTAAAATCACTTGTAGGTCATTTTTGCACAAAGCCGCTCCAAAAGTGGCCACTTGAGACAAGCCCCAAATCAAGCCAGTCACCATAGTCTCCCGTGAATCAATATTTAAAGCATTTATAAAGCCATAAAATTTGGGAATTACCCCAAATTCTTTTCATACCTCCACTTAATAATCATTCAATTCAATTTTATTTATATAGCGCCAAATCACAACAAAAGTCGCCTCAAGGCGCTTCATAGATACAGAGAAAAACCCAACAATCATATGACCCCCTATGAGCAGCACTTTGGCAACAGTGGGAAGGAAAAACTCCCTTTTAACAGGAAGAAACCTCCAACAGAACCAGGCTCAGGGAGGGGCGGGGCCATCTGCTGTGATTGGTTGGGGTGAGAGAAGGAAGACAGGATAAAGACATGCTGTGGAAGAGAGACAGAGGTTAATAACAGATATGATTCAATACAGAGAGGTCTGTTAACACATAGTGAGTGAGAAAGGTGACTGGAAAGGAAAAACTCAATGCATCATGGGAATCTCCCGGCAGCCTACGTCTATTGCAGCATAACTAAGGGAGGATTCAGGGTCACCTGGTCCAGCCCTAACTATATGCTTTAGCAAAAAGGAAAGTTTGAAGCCTAATCTTAAAAGTAGAGATAGTGTCTGTCTCCTGAATCCAAACTGGAAGCTGGTTCCACAGAAGAGGGGCCTGAAAACTGAAGGCTCTGCCTCCCATTCTACTTTTAAATACTCTAGGAACAACAAGTAGGCCTGCAGTGTGAGAGCGAAGTGCTCTAATAGGGTGATATGGTACTACAAGGTCATTAAGATAAGATGGGACCTGATTATTTAAGACCTTGTATGTGAGGAGCAGGATTTTGAAATCAATTCTGGATTTAACAGGAAGCCAAGCTAATAATCTTTCACAGATGCCATATTATCGACTGGTTCTTTGTCATGCTGACGTTTTTGTATACTTCTGTTCCACCATTGTAGCACGGGTGTGGAGAAGGATCTTCCTAGTTCTTTCAGAGTGACTCACAGTGTAGTTAATGTTTACAGTTACTTGTAGCCTGTCTGAGCATTAGTGTGGCTGCTCCAGGCAAAGCTCTGACTTAGAGTAAGTGAAGGTTATAAGTGGAAAACTGTGCAACCTGTGGTTCTGCGGTATAGCCACAGTTCTCCAGTCATACGAGAAGTCAAGTCACTTTTATTTATGTAGACTTGACCCAAGTGCTTTCCAGTTAAGACAAATGTAAAATCTTTCCAAGTCTCCAGAAACCAACACAAAACCTGAGTAAACAAACAACGTTGCTACAGTAATGATGAAAGTCATTTAAATAGTTTAAACAGCCCCTAAATCAAATAGGTCACTATAATCACCCATGTTTTAAATTTATTTTGAACATGAGCCATAAGGAAAGAATAATTATAAAACATGTTTAAATTATCATAACATTGTCTGATTATTCATCTAGTAATTTTTTTTGTCACTGACCTCGGTTGTCGGGGTGGGAGTCTAAGCATAGACACCCAGACATCTTCTCCAGCTCCTCACAGAAGTGTTCTCAAACCAGCTGAGAGACAGTATCTGTGAAACATGTCCTGGGTCTGCCCCATGGCCTCCTCCCAATTGAAAGTGCTTGAAACACCTCACATAGGAGGCATCCTGGTCAGGATGCTCAAATCATCTCCCCAAGTGACTGAGCTCCTCCACCTTATCTCCAAGGTTAATTTCTGTCTCTTATATCCACGATGCCCACAGCTCGTGGACATTAGTGAGAGCAGGAACGCAGATCGACGGGTAACTGAACAGCTTTGCTTTTACATTCAGCTCTCTTCTCCTCAGCAGATCAGTACAGCTGCCACGTTATCCAGCATCCATCCACATAAAAATATCAAAACCTAGGAATTAACAAAGTATAAGAAAGAGAATCATTTAAAAACTAAAAATGGGACAAAAGAACAGAATAATTTAATGCAGATATCATGCGTCTTGCTAATGAATACAAGATGTAAATAAATCTGTGAAAACACAAAAAAGGAAGTAATTGTTGCTTGTTTTTTTGTTTTTTTAAGTAATTTAAGGTTTCAGGAAGCCATAGAAAAAAAATTCAGATGTCACTTTGAGCTGCAGATTGAAATTTGTGTACTATGGTTTCAGCTCATTGGGATATTCCTGGCCTGCTGCTTGTCTCGATACATCACCAACAACCAGTATGAGATGGTCTAACAGTCACCTGCCACAGGTATGTCTTTTATGAGGGAGTTATCGTAACAGCTAAGTCATACAGATCGTTCTGAGGAGGATTTGTAACTGGCTTTCTGCTTCTATTTGCAGGTCACTGATGAGCCGGTCCTGATGCGAACTGAGTTGGGATTTTAATATTTTGTGTTTGTGTTTCTTATCATGTAATTTTAGAGATGGAAGACACTCACCGCTTTTTCTTTTATTCAATCTCACCAATGCACAAGGGAATCATGTCTGCGGAGCATCAAAAAGGGAGAATACTCGAGAGTTGGTGTGACCAAAGAGAAAACATTTCACAGGTCATTTGTTATTCTGGGAGTAAATTAGGGAAATTACATTAAGTGTTTATGTTGTGTATTAGTGTCACTTTATATTTGAGCTAATTTGACAGCAACATTTTCATTTCTTGTTTCGCAGTTGCCTTGTTTTATAATTTTTTTTCGCTAGTAGTCTGTAGCTGAGCAGATGAAATGTAGACAATAATAAGCTGTTAATGTTAAACTTCTGTGTATCTTTATGTGTGAAGCCTTTATAAGCCCTAGAAATGGACAGGTCACCTTCCTGAAGTCAAGTACAAATGATTTATAGGAGCTGTGTGGGAAAGCGAGCCCTACCAATTATGTGTGTCAACTACACCTGACTTCTTACCACAGTTTTCAGTGTTAGTGTTATTCTTGTGTGGATGCATGTGAAATACTTGAAAATAAAAGATGAAATCCAGTGTCTCTGACAGTGTGTGTTCTTAACAACTGTCTGTACAGCTGTTTGCTCACAAAAAAAAGAAAGAAAGAAACACAAATATTTTGGCAGCTGGTGATTTTTGGCAGACGAACATGCCCTGGATATTTGGGGCCTTTGGAAGAATGCTAATAAACTTCAAGATATGAAAGCATCTCAGTTTTTCAGTGGAAGACAACTTTATGGATTTAAATAGCATGTTTGATGTGTGATTAAAGTAACTGCACATAAAAATACTAAAAATGCCTGAATGATCAAATAAGAATTTACCATCCACTTTGTCAAGATTCTCATTTTTTTTCATAATGCACTCTAATTGCATCTGTAACATAAAGACCTGTCACAGTTACACTATTAAACTACACACTAAAA